AGCCATTGACAGAAGGTTTGTAGTGAATAAGTCTCCCTCTCTTCTCCCCCTGTCATGATGTTGCACAATGACAAGATCATCCAACTGCACATGGGTGATTTAGGTATGCCCAATGCACTTTTCCAGCATTCCTAGGGAAAGGACGCTGATTGGTTAGATTAATGACTCCCCTGGAATGGGTGTGGAAAGCATAAGAAAGATGAAGCAGGTAAATAGCCTGCAGGGTGATGAAATGTCAGGGAACCTGGTGTTGTTGCCCAGGATAGGACAAAGCTGGGGGACGTCTTGCAAGTGGAGGAGGACCTCAGCAGTTCTGCCGCTGGCAGCTGCAGCACCTCACACTTTTATGACGCAGCAAGTGCACACCATTGTCATGACACTGACAGAGTCACGGCCTACCAAAACGTTCAAATGTTAGGGTTTTGGGGGTGTGGCTATAATATTAAAGAGCCATAATATAAAAAGATTGTCAGAGCATAGGTCCTTGCCCTGTTGTGGTATACCAATAGTGTGTTAGATTTTTTGTGTTTTAATTCTGGGTCTGATCTTGACATTAACTGACAATTCTACATTCTATACTCCTTTGATTCAGCTATTGTTATAAATTGCTATTCCTGATTTCTGGCTACCCTGACTACGGCTTGTCCCTGACTATTCTCGGTCATTGTATATGTTAAGGTCCGGTATACGTTTATACTTGCTATATTTTTACAGTCTGTGTGTTGGGTCTCTCAGTATTCCTGACAGGAAACGCTCTCATTTAAAGCTAGAGCTTTTGAATAAGACAGGTATTTCAGAGTAATCCGTGTCCCTTTTTTAACTGTTGGGAACACGAGAGGATAAGAGCATAAAATACGACACTAGGGAGCAGGAGAAGCAGCACTTAACTAGTAAATTGTAAAATGAAATAATTTAAAAATCTCAAACTCAAGGACACTCATGCAGACATTTGTAGGCAGATTTTCTACAAAGTACACAGTGATAATAAAACAGTTTTTAGATATTTTTAGTAAAATAAATGGTACAGAACAAGTTGGTAACACTATAAAATGTAGAAACATCCTAGCACTCAATATACTATAATAAATTATGCAAACCCCCTTCGTTAGACTGTTTCCAGGGTCAGCAGATCTCAGTTGCTTCAGGGTAGGCAAGAACACTACATTTAAACAAATCTTACATAGGACACAGACTGTATCCTGAGTCACCAAGAGGTCATTGCCAGGAACACATAGACGCTTGACCACGTTACTTTAGTAAATAATCAAATCGCTAATTTGTGTAAAACTCGAATATTATTTGTAATTTGTACAAATTGGATTGACATTCGGCGTTAATGAAATGACAACCGTGTGTGAACAACTCATGCCAGTTCAATATAAAATGACAAAAAAAACAAAAACTGTATTTGTGTTATTTTTTCTATTTAGAAAATCAGCCTGTGAATTGTGTGCTGGTCTCCCATCCATTGCACTCATTACGCGATCAAAAATGAACAGAAGGTTCTGTGAAGATGTTTTCTGGAGCAGCAGCTTTTGGTAATGTTGTGTCATACAGAAAAGAGGGTAACACAAGAACCCTGACATGCAAAACCACACACTGAAACACATTTATATAGAAGATCATGGTTTATCCTAATGCTATAAGCAGCATTAACTTCATATATCCCTTTAAAAGGTTGCCTGGAGACATCGGTCCTTGCATATTTCATAAAACTAAGAATGCAGCTGTTTCAATCAGAATAGTTCTATTGGATCCAAAAAATTCAAGTTTCACAAATTCTTCACCAGATTTTGAGTTTATGATTCAGTAGAGGTTGGGATACCCAGTTTACAGAATATAGACAGAATCTTAAATAGAGACATAGGCATGCTCTGCTTTGTTGGGTTGGCTGTTATGTGATCATCTTGTGCCCCTTTTCAGGATATTAAAAATGTACCAAAAAGACATAAAAATACATAAACATTTGTATGTATTTTTGTGTGATATGTATCTGTATGTATCAATGTAATAATCCTTGCAGAATATGATACACTGACTGAGGCATACTGTGGTGTCTTGTCGATATATGTGTCTTGTTTCATGTATGTGTATACAGAAAAATTTAATAAAGAATTTATATTAAAACAAAACAAAAAATAGAATGTATAATAAAAAAAATTACCAAAAAGAAAAACAAAAATGTGAAACACCTTATATTTTCCTTTGTTTTCAGATTGAGCATCCGACTGCAAGTTGAGTACCTTCTGGCTTTTATCTTATTACACAATCTTTAAGAACATCTCTAAACTCAATGTTTCATTCCAAAAAGAAGGTGCTCTCCACTTGCCCAAATATTCTCACCCCAGATCAAATCCCAAAGTTTTTTATACCACCTAAATTATCAACTGTCAAACAACAACATGCAAAATCCATTTCTGACACAGGACCCAATCAAACCCCAAAGACACTTTTACGATCAGCCAATCGTCACATAATTCAGGTGGAATATATGGAACCAGAGATGGGGGTATCAGAGCAGACTCACAATATAAACTTTACAGTCCCAATAACGGGCAGCCCATATCTGTCAGAGAGCCCCCATACTCGCAGGAGAGAGTCACTTTTCCATGGAAACTTTGGTATGAAGACCTTGTCGCCTTCAGACCCTGATTGTACTTTAAGATGGCGATCATCATCCTCTGAAATTGACTTTGGTGGCATTTCTGATGGTCGCCTTGAAAGTGACACTACATCATCTGCCGAATCTTCTCCTTTTAGCTCTCCACTGTTGACCCATACAATAGCTGGGAATCTGGTTAGACAGGTCTACAGGAATCAGCAATTGTTTTGTCGCTCTGAGAGCATAAAAACATTGGCCCGGGCTAGCTCTCTATCCAATGAAGAGACTAGTTCAACAGACACCAGTCCCAATGTCTCTCGAAAAAAGACCCAAGAAAATCAGGGGACGACCATGATGCATTTAGTTCCACCACCTGTATTTCACCTGGATTTTATCTGCTGCCAGGAGAGGTTGACTAAGGAAACAGAGGTCATGCTAAGTAAAGGGGGTCTTGTTCACCTCTCTGCTGAATACATGAAAGAGCTGAGGCGTCTGAGGGTGAAGTTGGTAAGTGCTGAGAACCTGTACCCTCCTAATCAGGACCCCAAGACTATCAGCTGCTACACAGTCATGTCGTTGCAGCCAGGAAAATTGCAGAAGCAAAGAAGCACTGTCATTCGGAGAAGCAGGAACCCTATCTTCAATGAGGATTTCTTCTTTGAAGGGGTGGAAAAGGGGGAACTGGACACACGCAGTTTAAGGCTGAAAGTAATAAACCGTGGATCGGGAATGCGTCGTGATCATTTCCTGGGGCACATCGAGCTACTAATCTCCGCTATTTTACCACCATTAACCGATTCCTGATAGAAACTGGGTGATGTGGGATTTCAGATTATTTAGTATCGTTAGTTATTTACCTTTTTCATACCATGTCTGAGTGAATTCTTAGAGGTGGGAGGGTTTGGGAATGACTAGACTCGTTCAAGTTTATATATTTTATTAACTAGGTGTAGATGTAAGGACCAAGTAGTGGAAACTATCCCTAAAATAGAGATACAAAGTTTGCCAAATTGTACAGTAACTGTAAACAGCACATAGGCTCACACAAGATTAAAATGTTTGACATAAGAATGGAGTTGTTGCTATTCACAAGACTGTAACAAGAATACAGTCTCATTCATAAGAGCACAATTTATATTTATACATGCCAGCCTTTTTAGTGGAGTAATTAGGGGGTACAAGGTTAAGGCATGGCTGTATGCAGCACAGGAAATAAAGTAGCAGCTGCCCCTCTGCGTATTACTTGTCTTTTTCAAATGCGACACGATTTCCCATTTACTTGAGGAGTGTGGATGGGGCAGAGGCAAGCTACATTCGGTGGAGTCAGCTGCCTTGTCTTAGGGTAACTTTGAACTAGTCATGGCTCATGTCCCTTTTCATCATAACTGCTTGCTCCACAAGCAGGTCTGTCCTTATGGATGGTTAGGAGGGTATGGCGGTACTGTACTCACCATCATCACATTGGTGGAAGGCAACAAAACATGTGAACTAATACCACCAAATGCCATAGAAGATAAAAAACAAACAATAAAATAATGTTAGCAGAATGGGAGGGGTCTAACAGGATATCAAACCACATAGAGACTGATGTAGCAGCCACGGATTACTGCTGGTGTAGCTCACATGGGTTAGAAATTCAGGGCATTACAGTACCTTTATAAACATGTGTAATATGTGCGTTGTCCTCTTGGAAACACCACACCCCTTCCCAGGAAATCCTGTTGCTCCGTGCTCCCTGCTTTTTTTGGGGGGTTGCTTTATTATATCTGTAAATCCGAATAAAAATTGCAGAATCAAAGAGGGATCCCCAAAAAACTGCCTTAACTAACTGATTTTACTACGGCAGCATACAAATGCTACATGCTACAGGGATTCACTTTTTACATGTTGCCCTTCAGCGGGTCTAGCATCCAACAAAGATGAGTAATGCAGCAGCCATATGTCAGGACTGTGTTCATTATGAGAATTCTATCCGAGTCCAAATAAAACTTTAAATTCAATACTTGTCTCCAGGACTAAATGAAAGAACTGGTTGTATCAAACTTGGGCTGTGTGTCTGACTTATTGGTCCTGTGGCATGTTGTATAAACATTCACTAATTCCTTCCCTTGTCCATTATTGTTATTCCTGACTCCCATCCACTCATGAAGTGCACATTTGGGTGAGCTATCTCTCCTCACACATCGTTGCTGGGATCCCTGCAAGCACCTGTTATGCCACAGAGAACAATCTTATTTAGCCCCACATTATTCTGGTATGGCTGTTTACCTACATTCAGTCAGTAATCGGATGTGTTCTCTTAAATGACACGATATGGGCCATGCCTGGCCAGGCTAACAGTGAGTAAATCTCAAATTTAAGAGTAAAATAGCCGAATTGGAAAAATTCCCCAGGGTACATATACTCCCACTTCGACTATTCTGGTCTAAAATGTCAAATTCATTTTCAATTCATTTTGAATTCCGGACAATTCTCACTTCAGTGAATAACACACTGTTTGCATTCTGGTATTTCACACGTTATGGACAACTCCTTTCCGGAATACAAGTTCTGTCCAGTAGGGTAGTAATCAAGCTAGATCAGTATATTCATAAATGAGATACTAACATTGAGTATTACTGAGTAATGTATAAAAGTGCAGTAAATGCTAGCTTGTATGCTAACGGGCAGGGCTCTCCCCGGTCCTTTTGTATCAATTTGTGTGTATTGTTTGTCTATATTCTGTATAATTACCTATAATCTGTTTTCACAAATTGTAAAGCGATCTGGATCAGTAATTTTGTATTGGTCTGTGCATATTGTAAAGCCTTGTGGAATATTTTGGCACTTTATAAATGCCAGTAATAATAATAATAATATGCTAGGCTGAGGAGCTGTGGGGATTGAATTTTGAATTGTTTTGTAAGATCCACAGTGGTTTTCTACACACATATAACTTCTACATGCTGACAAGCAGCACGCGATAAGTGGTACCTTGCAGTCAGTAAAATTAGTCTGACGTATTAAGGAAATTAATTCATTTAATTAATGATTTGTGTAAGCCTAATGTGGTTTAGGGGAACGTTGCATTATGTAAGTTCACCCACTAGAGGGCGCACTGACCTAAGACTCCACATTGAAGATGCATACAGGCTTGTTTGCAAGCATTCTCTGTATGTATATCATATTTAAACCCCTTCATTTACAAAGCACTGAAGTTATACACACTTTGGCAATGTGTATTCTAACTCTGCAAGCATCAGATCGCATTATCAACAGTACGGTACTTAGTCATTTGAATGGAGAATCTGGAGCTTAAAACTATTCTTCAGCTAAATAAACAGACAAGCAAAACAGAACCTATAAATAATATTATTATTACTCTCTTATTCTATGAAATCGTACTTCTGTGTCAAATAATTCCTCATACCGTTGAAACCTCTCCTACGCTATATGAACCCCCCAACAGCTCAATATAAATGCCATCTTCTCCACATCATCTCTCCTACTCCCCTACAACCTATTTCACTGCTCCATATAATCCCACCTAAAGTTCCATAGAATCCCTCCTACATCCCCAACTCATCCTTTTGATCCACATAATAACCCTATGATGATTTTCCCTTCGAGGATCGTGTGAGGCTGACAATTACTGAAATGCTACAAAGGCTCATCTGTTAACAAGTCTCTGGTTAATATTATTCTTGACTCCCATCCACTCATGAAGTGCAGATTTGAGTGGGCTATCTCTCCTCACACATCGTTGCAGGGATCTCTGCAATCTTATCTAGCCCCACAATATTCTGGTATGGCTGTTTACCTACATTCAGTCAGTAATCGGATGTGTTCTCTTAAATGACACGATATGGGCCATGCCTGTCCAGACTAACAGTGAGAATCATCAGGAATTCAGAGTAAATCTCAAATTTAAGACCAAAATAGCTGAATTGGAAAAATTCCCCCGGGGTCAGATATACGCCCACTTCGACTATTTTGGTTTAAAATGTCAAATTCATTTTGAATTCCGGACAATTCTCACTTTAGTGAATAACCTTTTTGCATTCTGGTACTTCACATGTTACGGACAATTCCTTTCCAGAATACAAGTTCTGTCCAGTAGGGTAGTAATCAAGCTAGATCAGTATATTCATAAATGAGGGACTAAGTTCTGTTCCCACACTACATGCTTTGGTACCTTCAAAAATGTGGAGCACAGTTGGCCAGGCTACGTGTTCTGGGAACACAATTGTGCTTAGGATGGGGAAAGTCACTCGAAGAGACAAATATTCGGGGGGTGGGGGGAAAGAGATGTGGTTTCCCCTATGCCGTGTGACGGTATGTCTGTGGTCCTTGCAGTCATTTTTCCGTCTTGCTTCACACGGAGGAAGACAGAGATGAAGGCTAGATAACAGTAAAAGATTTGTATTTCAGTATTATGCAAGTGATCAGACAGAAGAGACCAGCAAGTGGACACAGAGTAGACAACCCTTTAACCTGACACTGCTCCCCTAAAACAACCACATTCAATGTTCTTTTTTTAAATTAGGACACACAGCCATCATACTAGGTTAGAACGACTTATCAAGGTTGTTCCTTAAGCAAAAAACTGTGGTGTACTAAAAATGAATTAAAAAAATAAATCCTAAAATGCCAGACTAAGAATGCATCAGACTTTTTCCACCTCAGTCATTTTAGACTAGGTTTTGAAAATCTAGATTTCAATTTACAATAATTCTCTGACACTGTTACTTGCTAGAGAAATGTGGTTTCTGCTAGGTTAATCCAGGTATTTACTAACCTGTCTCGAGCATACGGTATTTTACCCTTCACATTCAAACTATGCCATGTTGCTGTTTTGACTATTCTTTTGTTAAAAATGTTTTCAGTTCAAAAAATGTCACGCTAGTAAGTACTTAAAAGTACATTTTTATATTTTGACCCAATATATAAAACATATCTATAAAAAAATATAGATACTGGTTTAAATATACTTGCAAACAAATTAAATTAAAAGGGAAAAAAAAGATGGACCACACTTAGTGGATCTGATTGCAGCTGCAGACAGACCCACACCAGGATGAAACACTCCAATCAGAACCACCACAAGATCTTGTCCCATAATAATTTTCTGTTTAGCAGTTAATTATAGGATAACTATTTTATGTCCCAAATAGCAGTTCAAAGAATCACATAGAATGATTTAAACTGCTCTATATACCACCCCCGCACCCCAATTGTGAGGAGTGAAACCATTTTACAACACTCCTCTACAGTTCAGCGAGAGAGAGACACTCCTGCTCAGTAGTCTGTTAGCTCTCCTGAGCTTAACCCTGTAGTGTTGATAGATGGTCGCTCTCAGCCAATGAGTAATGGCATGTATTGCCGTGGTTAGCCCAGTGCTTACTGCTAAGATAATAAGTCACACTATTCTAAAATAGCAGTGTCACTTTTGGGTGGCCTCAGGGACCATGGCTCACCCCTGACACTCTGCCTGCACCCACAAATGTTACCCTTGCAATACCATTTTTTATTTTTTAATATATTGCCAAGGTGGCAATTAAAAAATAAAAATCTAATTATGGCAGAGTCGATGGGAGGAGCATGTGGTCTGCACCTCCTGCGGGTGTGGGTCACTGTAAATGCACTGTTGCAGTTACAGCGTTCACTGAGAGAATCAAGAGTGCAGCCACCTGGTTCCCCAGCATGCACTCTGATTCATTCAGTTATTGCTAGTAAACAGCAAGGAAGTTAACAGTGTTCTGCAGCTACATGGTTCCCAACTAAGACATTAAAAATCAACAAGCCCCGCTGGATGACAAAGGATTATTGCAGAAGTGGGAGGTGTAAAAATGTAGTTAAATATGAAAACATTACTAATGCAATGTGTCGGACTGCTAAAGTCACAACACACACAGCCACCATACAGTTTTAACATACACACATAGTCACACACATACATATCACACACTGTCACCACATTAGTCACGTTAATGGTAATCTTATTACTGTGGATCTCTCTGATACACTCACCTACTCTGCACATTACAGTCCCATTGCTGATGAGCTCTTTGCTACACTGATGCACTCTGCAAATTACTGTGAGTTGTACTGCTAAGGAGCTCTGCGATACCCACATATACACAGCACAATACTGTCGCGTTTTGCTACTGCTTATTGTACTTAGACTGACCCTTTAATATTAGCATTAGACTCAAATGACGGGAAAGATATACTATTAACACAAATACCGCAGAATGAGAAAGCCTAGAAACGGCTCACACTATCTCACTGAGCTAGAGAGGTACTCTCTCTGACCATACTAACTACACGGACTTGTAAAGTGCAGGCAACAAGTAAACAAACAGGAACTGGACATATGACAATGGTTGATTAACAGGACAAAACAAATAAAAAATAAATATAATAGATGGGTGAAAAGTTATGAGCATAAAATGAATTGAAAGAAGATACAGGATCGTATATATAATGTTTAACAGACATTTTAACTAAAGTTACATAAAGCGAGTATATATGTATGCAAGTATATGTCTCCAGTCTTGAAGACCAGAAACTAAAACAAGATTTTGGGAACAGAGGCTGTCCGAACTAAGGTAAGGGTAGCGGTGTCGGAGACGCACCCTAACGGATCCTACATATAATGACATCTGATACCAAGTGGTAATGTAACAAAGAAACACGTCAAATGAGTAGACAATAAAGTGTTCCATAATTTGAATATCCTCCAAGCTGGCCATATAAATGGTCAGTAGAGACCTATGACGTTCTACTAGTTGTGAGAAACAAGCTCTTGGGAACACTGATCAAATGAACTGCAGGGGAATCTTTACACGGAAACATGATATAGTTGTTGTGGTCAAAGATCTGAAATAGAGAGTCAAATTTTAGGGGAGGTGCATTTTGAAACCATGTTGCTAACGGTCTTAGAACATGTCTGGATTGGCACTCATTAAATCACATATTGAAAAACATACATTTATATGTCCCTGTTTGATTGTAGTGCTAAATTTTCATTTGTTATTATTATTATTATTATAGAAAAATGGATCAATAAAAATATTTGAAAAAGATAACGAAAAAAAACAAAAAACAACTATCTGTGTATGCATCAACACTTCAGAACCTTTAATATCCTTCCATCTATTGTAGAATATTAGGGGGGTTATTTCCTATTCCACAAAAATAGAGGAAGGCTAGGAAGAACTCACATTTAAAAACATCCACATCTTTATTAGTTCATCAGATGGGGACAGAAATTCAAGGGTCCTAAAAAAAAACAACTATGCGCAAGCATGAGATTAAATATATATTTTATCATCTTAATATTTAGTAGAATAAGGTACGAGGTCCGTATACATGGAGTTAATGAGAAGCCTTTACAGGAGAGAAAAACGAAACAAGGAGAGATCTGTAGAGTCACACCTGAAAAGGCACTACTTATGGTATAATTATTCAAATAAATATATTGTAAAACATTGAGAAATGAAAGGTTGCATATGCAACCTTTTGAATGAGTTTAAAATGGGGAGAATTACAAATGTTTCAGAACCTGCTTCAGCTGAATAGCGTATTGCAAAGATTTGTTTTCTACAACGTGTCGGAGTAGTGGCAGAGATGGATAGTGAGAAATAACATTTAGTGAAGAAGAGTGAGCAACCAGGGTAAGATGATAAACTCTGGAATGTATTCACTTGACAAGTTTGAGAAACGTCTCT